TTGCAATCTTAAAAATCTTGCCAAATTTATTAAAGAAAAAATTAGTAAGAATAATTTAAAATTAGAAATGAAATATTAGCTAATTTTTGAAGTAATTGAATGATTCACCAAGGAGAAATTACTGCTAAAAGATCAACATCTAGTTGGAAAAAGAAAGTAGCTAACATGTAAGAGATTTAGGAGTTTTTTCTTTTGATTTGTGATCTAGATTTTTATCAAATTTTATATGCTTATTAATTGCTTATAGATTGAAATATGGATAAAATTCGAATTGAGATCAAGAGTTTAATTAATATTTATTGAAATTTTAAAATAATTATAGGAATTGGTTAGGATTTACTTTGAATTTTTTTGGATTTTTTTAGGATTTTTTTAAGATCTCTTAAGGATTTAATTTAGGATTTTATAAGAATTTGATTAGAATTTTATTAAAATTTGATTATGATTTGATTATAATTGATTTAGAATTTTATTAAATTTTGATTAGAATTTATTTGAGATTTTATTAAAATTTATTTAAAATTTGATTAGAATTTAATTATTATTTGATTAGGATTTATTTAGGATTTGATTAAAATTATATTAGAATTGATTTAGGATTTCATTATGATTTATTTAAGATTTGATTAGTATTTGTTTAAAATTATATTAATATTTAGTTATGATACATTTATTATTGTTACTTTAAATACTTTTAAAATATTTTTTTGATATTTTCTTAGGATTTTATTTTATTATATATATATATATATATATATATATTAAGATTAATTCATAATTTTTTTATGCTTCTTTTATATTTTTTTAAGATTTCTTTTAAATTTGATTAAAGATTGATTAATATTATTAAGTTTTAATTAAATTTATTTAAGATTTTATTAGAATTTTTAGAACTTTCTTATTGGAAATTCTATTTTACCTTTTATAGCCAAGTAATTGATACATTCTCAAGCAAAATTCATAGAATATAACACTGATACTTGTAACTTCTAAGTAACTAGATTGATTTATCAACAAATAGAAAATGATGCAAGTCTGTTATAATCTAACTTGTTACAAGCATAACTAGTCTTGATATTACAATAGAATAATCATACCTTGTTGCCAACATGGAATTGAAAGTATTCTATATAGTAGGCATTTATATTGATATTTTTTCATTCTTAAGTTGCTTAAATTGTAACTTTATTGTTGCATGTAGTTTTGACAAATAATTTGCCAAATCTTTGTCATAAGATTATTGATATTTGAGAAGTCAAACTTATTAAATAATAGATAATATTAATAAATAGTATAAAAATATATTTATTAAATAAAAAAAGATATATTATTGTAAGCAAACTTTGCCAATAGCAAAAGGATTGTCCAATCATCTTAATCTTAACCGATCATACATCTCCAATATTATTTCAAAACATGATTCACTCATTTTGTTTGTCCATCAACTTAAAGATAGAAAGTCAAAGATATTTTATAATTTTATTTAATAGCATTAAAAAGATTTTTTAAGCCTTAATATAAATTGAATCCTTCTATTTAATACAATAGCCTTTGGTAATTTATAATAGTAATAAATATTATCAATGTAAAGTTAAGCTATTTCTTCACTTGTGATTGATTTTGTATATAATGTAAAATATATTATCTTGATGAAACAATCTACTATTAAAAATATAGAATCATATGAACTTTGGATTAAAAGATCCATAATAAAATCCATAGAAACAAAAGATTGTAATTGTTCTATTATAGATAATGGCTCAAAAAGTCCATAAGGTTGATAATAAAGAATTTTTTATCTTGAACAAACATCACATAATTATACAAAGCTTTTAACTTCTTTCTACATTTGATGCCATGAAAAGTCTCTAGATATTAATTCCAAGGTCTTGTTGTATCCAAAATATCATACAATTGATAATTTGTCATAAGCTTAAAGAGTACATAATCATGCTTCACCTTCTAAAATATAAAAATATCATCAAAATAGAGTAGATTGTTTTTAAATTCAAATTAAAAATATCATGAGGTTTAAATAGATTATTTTTAATAATATAAATAAAAATATTTAAAGATATATTTATTTGAAATTGCTTTAAAAATGATAAATCAATAATTTATGTTGATTTCATTATTTAAAGATGAAATTGCTTTAGCTTCAAAAAAAAAATTTGTTGTTGATCAAAAATTACATCTTATTTTTTTGTAGAAGATAAGAACATTTAGAACAAATGTTTGATCAACCTAATTATTTTCATGGTTTCTAAGTGATCTTGAGTTCAAATCTTGAAAAAGACATGTTTTAATGAACTTTGAGATGATTTAAAATACATGTTGATATAAAATACTGAAAGGTTCTTGTGATCTATATAGATAATGACTAGACTTGAAGCACCTTCTAAATAATTGCACCATTCTTAAATGAATTCATGATTGCAAGAAAATATCTGTTGTAGATTTTGAAGTTGATTGTGGCTAATAAAGGTTTTTTTCAATAAAAAGCTACAAGGTGAAGTTTGTTATTTGCTCCCATTTATTATAATATCATACATAAGACAAAGTTTGATGTATGAATTTCTATAAAAAAAAAATGTCTTGAAAAAATCAATGGAATATAAAATTAATATTGTTGTAAAAGTTGTCTAAAATATTACGTCTTAAATCTTAAACTTTAAATAATACTTTAGCTTTTTTATTCCATTCTAATTTGTCTTTACAAATAAAATGTATAAATGGAGTTGTAACTTGAAAAAATTTCTTTATGAATATCCAATAGCAATTGATAAATCCTACAAAATATTGAAAAAAATTTATTCTTCTTAAAACCTTCCAATCTATGATAGTCTGAACTTTTTTAGGATCCATCATAAGATTATCATTTGAAATAATATATCTTGAGAAGTTAAGTTGTATAAAATATACACTTCATCATCTTAGCATATAATCCTTTAAATCTAAATTTTTGTAACATAAGATGAACATAAAGTTCATATTCATTTCTATTTTTTAAATAGATTAAAATATTGTTTAAATAACAAACAACAAAATTATCTAAAAATTCTTAAAAAACATCAATTATTAGATTTTGAAAAGCACATGGTACATTTGTAAGTCCAAAAGGCATGACATTATATTTGAAATATCCATCCTTGGTTCAAAACATAGTCTCCTATTAATATCCTTCTTTAATACGTACTAGGTTGTATCCTCCTCATAGATCTATTTTTATATAGATCTTTGTTTGATTTAGTTGATGTGAAGGATATAAATCACATAGAATCAAAATGCCAATATATTCTTCTATCACTTTAAAAAAAAATAGATATTCATTTAAAGATGGTATATTATTAAAACTTAAATGGTTGTTGCCAAAGATAGGATGACAAGAGACTCTTAAAATAAAACTAAGAACAAGAAAGGCATTGACAAGAGTAAAGAAGGTTTCACTCTTGCTTCCATATATATTATCTAATTATGAGCTTTATGGTGACATTCTATAGAACCTTTAACACATGTCTAACTTGCAAGATAAGTTTTATCCATGTACACTATCAATCCAACTTCATCTCTATAATACAATTATAAACTAGTATGTAAGAAAATGGATCAAAACGAAAAATCTTTGGTAATAAAGCTTGTGACAATATTATTTTAACTCAAGTCATTAGGTACAAAGATTTTTTAAAAAAAATTGAATCAATTTTTTTTTATAGTTTATATTAAATTAGCAAAAACATATGCCATTAGGCACAAAAAACTTGTTTAAAAATAATAAATTAAAGGTCTTTTTGTAAATTATGTAAGATTTTTTGTTGGTAGTTTTAATACAAATTTCATTGATTTTGGCCAATAAGAAGGTCTTTTTATTTATTTGTCATATACCTAAGTTTCCTACTTATATAGATTTATTCAAGAAAAAAAAATATTCAAAACTTAAGAAATATGATGTTATGATATGTTTTTTCTTAAACATAAAAATCAAAATTTTAAAAAATGTTAATTTTAACATAAATAAAAATATTTTTTTTAGAATTTTATTTTTTAAAAGAATATGATTTTTTTTTCTTTCAATATTTATCTTTCCTTATTGTACATAAAATGATTAATACTTATAGTACTTATATACTTACAGTAAATGCCATATAAATAAAAGCTAAGCTAGGTGTAAATTTCCTTTAAATTTTTTGTGATATACCATGTTCTTATATTTGGTTTTTTTTATAAGATATTAGGAATTGGGATGTTTTATTTTCATTTTTTAACTTGAATAATAGATTTATTATATTTTTTGAAAAATAACTAAATGATTATTTGATTCATTGATCTAAAAGTGAATTGATTGATATCATTCAAATATTAAAGTAAAAATATTAATTAGAATATTTTTTTATGTTTTATTTAAGTTTCAAGCTTATTCTTGTTTTTCTACTTATATATCTTATTGTACAAGAGTAGTAAAGCTTAGGTATTAACTAAATTATTACTTTAGTTTCTTGGTTATCATTGTCACTATAAATTTTACTATATTTGTAACAACTTTGTAAAAATGTATATTTACATATTTGTAAGCATCCCAAAATGATTATCTCAACAAATATTACCAAAATAATACATCTTTGAAAATATTATACTCCTAAAAACATCAACTCCTGGATCATCAACATCTTTGTGAATTCATTCACAATGTCTCACTAACATGCCCACATTCTATTCAACATCTTATTCAACTCCCCTTTTCCTAAGCTCCAATAAAAATAAAAATAAAAAACAAAACAAAAGCACCAATTTTCTATGCAAAACAAGTAAAATATCCACCAATGAGCTGATGCCCAAAAGATGTTAAAATGTGCAAGTGGGTGCCTACCGACGCTGAATTTGGCCCCCATCAACATGGTGTCGGTGAGCACCGCACCAAACCCACCAACTAAGATCGAAAGATGCCGACCTAACGACGCAGCCACCGACACACAGAAGCAGGTGCAAAAAAGGAGCCTTTTGAGGGATTAGTGGGCAGCAGCGGTGCTGCAGAAGGCGCCGACGTGGAACGCCGCAAAAAAGATCCGCATCGTAGGCGGGGAAGTGTTCGGACGCTTGCGATGCCGTGGGCAGCAATTTTGAGGAGGGTGCCAAGGAGTTGGGTTGGCACGCCACCCGAAGAATTTGCTACTCGACTGGTTTCAGTTGTGGGTTCCATGAATTTGCAGAGATAGCTATGGCTATGGCGGATGCCGATGTGGGGAAGAAGCTTCGGGAGCTCTTGCGCACCGGGGATGCGTTGTGGACCACCGTTAGCAGGCTGCCTTCGCACGTACTCACGGCCGATTGCCGGGCGCGGCTGCTCAAGGTTGTGCAGGCTGAGCGCAATTTTGTGGCCCGTTTGGCGGCTCAGGACAGGACTGCCGTTGCTGACGCTCATCTTAGCAGGTGATTGCGCTGCCCAATTCTGTGAACAAAGCTCTCTCTCTCGCTCGCTCGCTCGCTCTTGTTCAATGGTTGTTTGTTGGGTGAGTGCGAGTGTTAAGATGTGGCGATGAAGTTTGGAAGGTTTCAAAAACAAGCAGTGAATAGGAATTTTCTGTCTTACATGTGGTTGTGATTGCTGTGAATGATGGAATCTGAGTTTGAATTTCATGAAATTTCGTAACACTCTGGGTGGAAGTTGCGCTGGGATGTTGTAAGTGAAGTATTTAGGGTTTAGTTAGCCACTAATTGGACAGGTTCGTTTGGATGTGTGTGTATTTTTTTAATGCAGCTCAAATTTTGGGCATCTGGAAGGAATCGTTTTCGTTCTCCAAAATCAGGGTTGGCGAGTTGCTGGTGCTACTGCTGCTCTGAAATCTTTCCAGGTATTGTCGTCCGATTCGCTTGTGACGTCTGATGGGGAGGAGTGTAGAGCAGAAGATGGGAAGGGCGAGGTATCCCCCCTCAGCTGTTTCTCTGGAGAAGGTGACGATGCTGTAGGGGCGGTGGTCCACATAGACTTAATCTGCACTCTCCTCGGAGAAGCTGTCTGGGTGGTCGTGATAAATAGTAAGGCGCGGAACAGGCTATGGTTTGACAAGAACAAGCGAATTGGTCTTCATACTCGCGTGTCGACGTTATTGCATGCTGCGTCTCTGGTCAAAGCGACGCGGCCTTCTGCAATTGTGCTTCTTGTGCGAGATGGATTGGAGAGCAAGTTGGAGCAGCAATTGCATGAAGAGTTTCATGCTACCAAAATGTCCGAGAACGATCCAGAGGAAGTTATGTCAAATGGTGTATCCAACTTCACGTTCCAGGATGTTGATGATGGAGACTGGGTGAATATTCACCTGCCGGTAGTAAAACCTAAGCGTTGGACAAGCTATTGGATTCGGATCACACACCCAGCACAACCTCAAACCCTTAGCAGCAAGTGCACAGATGATCCGACTATGAAACATGCATTTGCAGCAGATAGCTTCCGAGGCGAAGATGACGAAGATGCCACCTCCATCACCGGATCATCCTCGTTTTGGTCAGCCATTAGGAGTCTTAAAGCAAAGCACGGAGAATTCGACAAATTTCAACACGAAAGGAAAATCCTCAACTTGGACACGACCGCTCTCGTTGCCATGGTATCAGAGCTGACCAATGGCGGTGCGGAGCACTTGGTGAATCTATCTTCGGAGGAGAGGGAGAAGCGATATCCCATGATGGCGAAGTTCGTGTACGAGCAGGTGCAATTTCTTACTATGTCTCAACTATCCTTCCATGATCGGCTCAACACTTGATGTCATTGACATTTTAGCACTGGGTAGCACCAAGCTAATATTTGATGCTTGCTGTAACAGGCATTAGTTGAGCTCGATGAACCCTTTCTGCCACAATTTGAAGAAGTCTTCAGCGACAAGCTCCTCGTGATCTGCGAGTATGTGTACGACGAGTTCACGTCTGTAATCCTCTTGAATGCCGGACCTCGTGAAAAGCTCCGGGCACATGTATTGTTTAGCCAACTTAAGTGAGTGGATCAATCCTCCTCTGCATAACAGTAGTAGCTAGTTTTGCTTGGTGCATGTGTAGGGCTTTCTTTGTCAATTGTACTGTAAACTGCTCTTTGGGTTTATTCTCTGAGTTATTTTATGCAGGGTGGTGCCGAACCTGCCATCTGCACGAGTGAATGCTCTCCCTGAGACGGGCAAAATCAAGCCTCGCCACAAGCTCGTTTTCGGCTGCGGTGACTTCTTGCAAGCTCCCACTGTGACCGCCAACATGTCTTTCGTGCGAGCTGTGCAGCAACAAGGCGTACCTGTGGCAATCATCCAACACCAACCTTGTGCTTTCATTGGCGATTGAGCAATCTACATCGGATGTATGAAAGCCCTTGCTACGATCAAATTCACCATCTGGGACTGTCGGTGTGCAGAGTCAAGTTAGCGTTTAATGTAATATTTGGACTTCCGCTGCGTGTGTGAAATGAAAACTGTACAGTATGATGCAGGTGGCATGGTCGAACCTTGACCTATTGCTAAAAGTGCGAGCTTTTTTATGGTAGAAGTGAGACCCTTAACTACGTTGGAATCTTGTGGTGCGTCGTTGAGGGACAACCTTTGTAAGTTCAGGGGTTTGGAAATGAATCAACCTCACTGTTGATCCAGACACAACACACATAATTATTTCCATAAAGGCGAAGATGAATTCCTGTTCTAGATATTACTGGTCTTCACCTAATGAGCTACACGCTCATACACACACCGAGAGCCTTGTGCTGTAACACCTCTCACTCGATTGCCCAGCACCAGTATTCAAATTTTACATTTACAGCAACCATAAACGCAAATGCAACTTCGGACTCCACGAAATTGAGCTCGACGCAACTCAACGTTCTGTGCAGTGAGCACAACGCTGCAGTGCACTTCGGTGACGAAGAGGAGAAACCTCGAGAAATAAAGACCCTTCAATAAGTGGCGAGCACCCAGTACCCACTTGTATCTTCAAGGCAGTTCATGGTATCTGTGAATTTTCCTTCTATTTTTCTAAATTTGTGCATGTTATGTTTTTGGTAGACACATTTTGATTGAATTTTAATGTGCTACTTATCAATCAGTCTCTTTGATGTATCTAGTTTTTAATTTCCTACCTTGACTAGCACCTTGCTTACTTTGCTTTCACTTAGTGGTCATTATAATTCAAACACATTGTTTTCAAACAGTATATGATTATTGTAAAAAATACAAAATAATAATAATAATAATAATAATTTTACAAATGTGCATAACTTGACATATTCCACCTTGCCAAAGATATAGGTTTATGTGAACATAGTTAAACACTACTTTTTCAACAATTCTTAATTGTGTAAATAGACAATAATAAGTAGATTATATTTAATACTCTTGATGCAAAATTTAGCACTCTATTGTCATTAGTCATTTATAAATTGACAATAATAGAGTGGTAGACTACACCAAATGAGTATTTTGCATGGCTTAATACACATATTATTAAAATTATAAGTATTTATTATACCATAAAGCACTTTATTTGTATTAAATCTAATGTCTGTTAGCCTCCATTTTAAAGCATTAGAATAAATTATATATAATAAGTCATATCTAAAACAATAGTATGTTGTAAATCATTTTACATTTTACACATGTTCTAATTTGACTTGATAAATATTTTTTAGAAGATGGTATATTATTTTTGTTAAAATTTTCAAATAGTTAATAACACTATGTTTGAGATATATAATCTAAGTACATAAAAATATGTAATTTAATATATACAAGCAGAAACTTTTGCTGTTGGGCATTGCAATCTGGAACTGCCATCCATATATTCCTTCATGTTCAACCTTAGAGAAGGTTTCTTTATATCTTTATCTTATACCTAAGTTGTTTCATATAATGGATATACACATTTCTAGCCAGCTCACACGGAAAAACATAATATATATATATATATATATATATATACATATACATATACATCTCAATTCAATTTTATAATTACAATTTTTGGTCTAAATTGACGAAGTCTCGCACACAAACACACTAAAATTTGAGTATGTACGAGTATTTAGGTAATTCAAAAACATGGCAGAGCTGCATTTTCAGAGGTGAACTTCCAATGTATGCTAATGGGAGACTTCTCCAGGAGATAACCCTAAACCCTAACTCGCTCGCGCTTGACGAAGAGAGCCACCCCCTCCTCACTCGCTGCCCGTGTCCCAGCTTTCCTGATCACTCCATGCTCTCGTCTTCACCAGCTCAGAGTGCGCACTAGCAGCCTGCCACCATGCCACCCAAATTGGACCCTTCCCAGATCGTCGAAGTGTATGTTCGCGTCACAGGTATTCACTGCCTTCTGACATCGGCACTTGTTTTTGAGAATTATCTGGTTTCATGGTTGCCCAGGATTTTGTCTTGGTTGTGGAGCTTTTGTTGTGATAGACCACAGATCGAGTGAATCCGTGTGGTTTTTAGGGTTGAGGGTTAGTTCTGGGTCTAGTATCTTCTATCTCGGAGAGAGAAACTATTTTCGGATTTATCCATCATGATGTAGTTTCTGGAGAAGTTGGATTTTGTACGAGTTTGGAGCGTTTGCGAGCTGGGCTATTAGTGCGACGAGGTTTTGCTGATGTGTTGCAATTAATGTGCTAATTTTTTTGATGTGGTGTAGGTGGAGAGGTAGGAGCAGCCTCCTCGCTTGCACCGAAGATTGGTCCTTTGGGTCTTTCACCCAAGAAGGTTGGTGAGGACATCGCTAAGGAAACAGCTAAAGACTGGAAAGGTCTACGTGTTACAGTCAAGTTGACAGTGCAAAACAGACAGGTTTGTTGTCACTCCATCACGATTATAGTTAATGATATATTTAGTAGCATCCAAACAGGAGCCTGGTTCAGTTCAGTTTGCATAGTCTCACCAATGAAATTAGTGACAGCAAACGTTGTGATCGTAGAGGGTTGAATTATAATTGTGGTGAACAGCAACTAGGCTGCATTGTTAGTGTAGTGCTGTAGAAGCCGATTCTTAGATGCTCTCGACTTGGAGCTATTCTTGATGGTGACGATTGAGCTTTGCAAGCCCTGCTATGTGTTAACTGACGAAAATTGCCTCTTGTGTCTACAACAGGCTAAGGTAACTGTGGTTCCTAGTGCTGCTGCTCTAGTTATCAAGGCTCTCAAGGAGCCAGAACGGGACAGGAAGAGAGTGAAGAATATTAAGCACAATGGAAATATCTCACTGGATGATGTGATTGAGATTGCGAAAATCATCATCCAGTGGTCGATGGCCAAGCACGCTGCAGGAACAGTCAAGGAAATTCTTGGCACATGTGTTTCAGTAGGCTGCACGGTGGACGTCAAAGATCCCAAGGAAGTCCAAGAAGGGATTGACGATGGAGAAGTAGAAATTCCCGAGTAGGATAGTGGGTAGAAGCTAGATTGGAATTTTTTTAACGATGAGGAGTTTGTTTATCCTGTTTTAGTGTAACATTGTACAAAAATGAGAGATGTTTTAGTCTCGTTTCTATGAGTTCTGACGCTCATTCACAAGTTTTGACTTTCTCAAGATTAGCCACATTTTCTCGGTAAAACCGTGGTTGATGTATTATAGAATCTCTTACAATATCATGTTGGCTTTGGTTCACATCATGGTTACTAGGCAGCTTGGAATATCCTGTAGCTAGGGCTGAATGCAGAAATTGTGCAGCACAATGCTATGATGACTAATCGGAAGAATGTTCAAAAGCTTTGCGAGGAATGATCGAGAGTTCTATACTAATAACTAGACTACGGTATGGCAGAATGAGGATGTAAACTCGGCTGTATCGACTGCAATTAGGAAAACTTACCTTTTGACGCAGCCGCTTCTAGAAAAAACCTGGTGATTAACCCTGACACTGACCTCGTTTGGGGCAAGAAAAGGAAGACACGGTCAAGGAGTGGAGTGTTTCGCAGAACGATTAAAATTCAGTTTTTGTACATCAAGTCAATACACCGTGCGGAGTAGTGACATTCCAAATTGGTCTACATTCGACCCAAGCATCATGATCGCTGAATAGAGACACACTTCAAAGGACCTGTTGAGCATATGGCACTCGTATGCTTCAGCACAAGTTCAAAACATAGTTGCATACGTTAAATGCAAAAGAGAGATTTCTTTCTTAAAACACTAACTCGTTCACAATCGAAACAATTTAGATGTGAGTGCGACACGTAGTTCCCATTAAGTCCTCTACAACAGATCGACAGTCCAAGTTCACGCCGCTTTATTTTATTTTCCAAATTGTAAATAACTAACTCGCCTTCAATGCTTCATTTCCTCCACATGTACTAGGTGATGTTTGGCATGAGACTCTTGTAAAAAACACCGTCACAGAAGCAGGTAGTTTTGACACATATCAGTTGTTGTATTGGGAGAGATCCTAGTCAACCAAAGGCAATCTCTCTCATTACCTTCTTGATACATGAATGCCGGAAATGCTTCAAACGCGCATTCGCAAACCCTAAAACCTGACTCCTTAAAAAAATCCCCCAAGAACTCCGACGTGCAGTAAACCAACCTCCTCACATTGCCAACAAGTGTTTCTCCCGCAGCTTCTCAACTTCCAAATAGGCAGTCCCATAGGGCAAAAACTCCTGCGAATGCTCTTGCGCAAGCTCCCGCAACCCGTCAGCCAGCTTGGGAATGGACATAATCTCGTCATTCGTCAGCCTCCTAACAAACCTCGCCGGATTCCCAGCCCAGAGCTCACCCGCAGGCACCCGCCGCCCGGGGGGCAGAACAGACCCCGACCCCAACATGGAATTCATCTCCACGAGCGACCCTTCCAACAACACACACCGCATCCCAACCACAGCTTCGTCCTCCACGGTGCACGACCTCAAGGTGCTGAACGCTCCAATGGTGCAGTACTTACCGATCAAAGTCTCCGCCGAGAGCCCAGTAGGGGCGGTGCCCGCAGCGTGCAGCACGCACTTGTCCCCGATACTCGACGAAAACCCTACCACGATACGGTTCAAGTCCCCCCGCAGCACTGACCCGTACCACACCGTCGCCCGATCCTGCACGTCCACGGCTCCTGCGAGCACCACATTCGGCGCTACAAACGCATCCACGGCCACGATCGGCACCCTATGCCCTACGGGCACAATCTGGCGCTGTCCTTTGTAATCCCACTCCGCATGAGGATGCGACGTTGCAAAGCCTCGGGTGCCTTGTCCCAGCTGCAGCTGCTGCTGCGCAATCGCTCCTCGTCGCGCGAGGGTGCGCGCTGCCATTCGGAGCGCCATCGCCGCAGTAATGCTCGCAATTCGAGGTCAAGAATTCACAACCCTCCTGCGCAGGGTGTCACTACTTCGAATTCTAGGGGAAAAATATGAAGGTCGACGTCGAGGTCAAGCCCCAGCTTCAGCCGAACGGGCTCTGTCCAACTCTCTTTTCCCTTCGTCGCTGCTTCTCATTACCAGCTTGGCCCTCTATTCCCTTTGTTCTCTTCGTTCCCTTACGGGGATCGTGCATTCCGTGGCGTAAACAACCGACGTGCCTTATGGTGTTCCCCTGAGTGGAACTCGCCTGTGCTGCCAAACAAACAATTTGGGTGTATAAGGTAATGGTTGCTTGCAATTTAAAGAGAGAATTATGAATTTGAATTTTTATAGTGATATAAATATGATATTTTTAAGATGGTTATTTCTGGGTGAAAGAATGCTTGCAAGTTTGGAAGGTGAATAAGATTCAAGACTAAAATTGAAACTTGTGTTTAATTGAATTTCTTTTTTCTTTTTTCTTTTTTCTTATTTTACTTTACTTGGGTGGTGATGAGCCAAATTATGTGTTGAGTATCATTTTTTGAAGAAGGTATTGTTCAATTTTTCAGAATATCTTCTATGTTAATTTGGGCATTTTCATTAAATATTTGATATTAGACATAAAAGATGATCATTGTCATTTATTTAGAAAACATTTATGTGATGTTGATATATCTAATAATTGGATCGTATTTTTTATTGGATATGAAAAAAAAATATTCATTTTAAAATTGTTACAAGTCCAAATTTTTATTATAGAAGTTGGCAGATCAAATTCTAGTAGCTAATGTTGCCTAACTAAAGTTAATACACTAATAGTGATTTTTTGATGTTTGATTGTGGACTTTTAAAGATGAAAATAAATAAATAAATAAATAAAATGTAAGTTTGCAATAAGTACAAAATTTTAACAAATACATTATATGATATGAAGTATGTATAATAATTTATATAAACTATAAAAAATAAATTATTTTTTATAGATTTTTTATAATAATAGAAAATAAGTTTTAAAAACAAAATTCTATTCAAGGTGATAATTATAAATAAATAAATATTCATTCAATATTTTAGTTTTTAAATAATTTTTACATGCCATCATGTAATGTTTGGTTTTTTCTAACATATAACATTATTTATTTAATTCATCTATATATATATATATATATATATATATAAATATATAAAAGAAAATATTAAATAGATCCAAATTTTTAATAAATAAACCTACCCATGATTTAGAATATGGTAATCATGATAAATGTGATTGGTTTTTATTAGTATTAGATCTAATAGTGGAGAAATGAATTTAGAAGTTTTATTTTTATCTTTTATTTTTATTTTTTATGATGGTTAAGATGAATAGATAAATTTAGTAAAATATTGGATCTATATAAAATTATCTTATATATATATATATATATATATATATATATATAAATCATTTTATAATTATATTACTACATTATAAAGACAAAAAAAAAGAATTTAATTCTTATCATACTTTTTATATTAAAATATTAAATAAAATTATATTTCTTAATGATATTTATATTCAGATATTTTATTTTAAAATTATAATAATAGATCTTTAAATTTATTATTATTATTATTATTATTATTATACATATAGATATGATACTTTAATCAATATTTCAATATTTTTGAATAATTTTCTTTATAAAAAGTAAGAATCTTTTCTTCTTTTTTTTTCTTTTTTTTTTAATTCTAATAGAGACTTTAGATTTAGAAGACAAGGTGAGAGATTTTAACTTTTATATGTTTTGATTGATTAAAATAAAAAATTCTTTTAAGTAAACTTAATACTTATCGAAATATGTATCATGGACATACATTTTTACCTAGATAAGAAGTCTTAGATAGAAAATAAATGTAAGTAGATTTGATATTATCTTTTGGCAAAGCTTCTTAGAAGCTGCATAGAAATGTATTTGACTTTATACATATTTATAATTGATTGGTAGGTTAGAAAGTTGGCAAACAAGTTAGCCATATGTTTTACATGTAGATAGCTTGTGGTACAAGCTAATGATGTGGCATACATATAGGAAACTTTCTTTGTAAGTTAAGACATGTATCTTATAAATTAGACACGTGTTAGAGGTCTTGTAGAATATTGCCACATAACTCTTAGTTAGATAATATATATAAAAGAAAGAATGAAGCCTTCTTTACTATGAGCTAAAATAAACCTCCACTAGTTGAAAGTTAATTCTAATTCACAACAAGTGAATTAATTATAGAAACCTCAAAAATTTTAGTCTTATTTAAAACTTAATCAATGCATACTTAAAACTCCTTAAATCATCCATAGAATGAAGCAAAATCTCTAGTACCAATTCATACTTATAAAAATAAGTCATTCAACAATTCCATGCAATTAAAAAACTTAATAATATGATATTTTATTTATTTATTAATTATTATTATTTATCTTAATTTATTTAATTAAAATTCATCCATTAACAAAATTTCATCCTTAAATAATAATTCATCCATTAACAAAATTTCATCCTTAAATAATAATTCATCCTTAAATTCATCTATGTTTAATAATTCATCCGTAATTAAATGTTCATCTAAACATTTATTTGTTAACTTTTTTTATTTATATACATTTTTAAAAATCCTAACTTCCTCCTTCTAAACCTAATTCAACCGTCTAATTTTCGTCACCTTACAAGTGTGATGACTTTGGAGAGGATGATAGACGATCCACGTTCTGAGTGGAAGCTAAGAGCTGAATCGTAGATTAACATACTCCTTCATCCTGGATTACCTCCCACCAAGCAGGGACACCTCTCTAGTCGTGTAGCTCGACTTGCTTGAACACCGAGTTGACAGCCTCGATTTTTTCCTAGTATCCTAATCTCACAATCCAAACCTTGCCAATGATGGAGGTTTGATCACAATCCATCTCTAAAACCTTGGAATTGAACCACTCGACGCTCCCTCGCTCTTTGCTTAAGCATAAACGACACTTCATAAGTAGGAACGTTGAATTCGCTATGAATGAGCCCTATGATGATTCAATTGAGTCTGCTTGAAGATGTCCACGCTTTCACCTCCGACACTTGGAAGTTCGCATCCAAGTTCACATCCAAAAGAATCTAACACTCTACAGATGGTTCGGCCTTCACTAGAAATGTCCATACCACCACCAGTAATCGAGCTCCCTTTTTAAAATCACTGCCTTGATCCAAAGCTCATGTGCTCTAAGATTAGCCTTCCGTAGGACAACTAAGAGGGAACAGCCGCGTGAAGCAGAGCTGCACAGGATTCTTGCACAGATCCGCCGCCTGAGCAGCAATCTCCAGATGAATGATAAGAACCGCCGAATTCCTCGGCACTGCAGTAGAGTCACAAAAACTACTATTATGTACATCTTACTCCACCATGTTAGGCCGTCTTAGGTTCAACAGAAGGAAAGGTACGAGACATCCGCAACGACACCCAATATACAAAATTTTGCGCAGTCAGTCGGAAAAAAAAATGCATGGGTCACTAAGTTGGAGGGGTTGGTAACGACGAGAATGACAAGGAATTCATGACAATGGTAGAAATCATAAAAAAAAACACAGGGAAGAACAAAGAATTCAAGAACCACGACAAGATCCGCAACAAGAGACAATCCGATTGTATGACCATGAGCCAGAGAAAGGCACAATTAACAACGGAAAATCACAATCAGTACTCTAGAAGAAGAACGACATAACATAAGATTCAGAATAGTCAAAATCAAAGGCAATATGAACAGTAACTCCAAAGGCAGAGTTGAACAATGACATGAAATTTACTACCAAAATAAACAAAAGATTTTCTTTTTTCTTTTTCTTCCATATTTTTTCTTTTTTAAAATAAGTCTTCTATATGTTCAAAAAAATTTCAACTCAATCCAACTTATAGATTGTGAGAAAAAGCCAAAAAACCACATTGATGTCACTTGGTTGTCAACTTGAAAGTTGATGAAGATGTTTTGAAGTAATTTCTCCTTCTTTAATTGTTAACTTCAATTGAAAATTGGTATATAGCTTAATTATAAATTCTTCTACTACAATGCCAAATTTCACTTTGATCTGACTAGTAGATCTTTAGATATCATAGAAATCCTATTTAACTCCAAAATGCTAATTTCTAATACTTTCTTATATCAAAACCCAAATATCTCCCAATTGTACTTTTAGATTAACAAATTTTTTTATACACACTTAGCACACTCAATGAAGCAAGGCACTATCAAATTTTGAATTATAAATGTGATATTAATTATACAAACTAGCTAAGAATGCTAACCCTAATTATATTACATAAATCCCAAATCATCAATACAAACTTTGATTTTGAACAACAATTGCAAAGTCATTCCAAATCTTTTGAAAATAAACCTTACATCTTTAGAATCAATCTAAAGCTAGCTCATCAACTCTAATTTCTGATCTTTGAATGCCCTCTTTTTTTTGTCCTTTGTGGTTGTTTTAGTAGCTAGTGGTCTGATTTTGATCCTATTCCACAAATGGTCAATCCTCAGATATCAATCAAATCTATCTTTGGAAGTTTTTAGTCCAATCCTATCTTCAACTCAATCTTAGTATCAATCATTCTAATTATTTATCTCTTTTAACTTAATTTTATCAATTTATTGCCTTTCTAAAGCAGTAAAAGAATTTTTACAACCCAAAAGATAAAATTATCAACTAACTTTTAATCTACTAGCTATTGGGATAAGAAAATAAAATAAGAGGCTTTTATAAAAGCCATGTTTAAATATCTTGTAATATTATTGAATCAAGATGATTAAATATTAATTATAAATTTATTTTTAATTATATTTTTACCATATAGTTGTGTTACAACACAACAATAGACTTTTATTTTTATAGATTTTATTATAGATCTTTTAATCTCAGATTTTTATGATTCTATATTTGTGATAGTAGATCATTTTATAAAGTTGGCATATTTTATATTATATACAAAATCTATCTTAAGTGAAAAAAATCTAACCTTTTCTTTAACAATATTTATTGCTATCATAGATTATATAAGGATATTATATCAAATAGAAGATTCAATTTATATCAAGATTTTAGAATTTTTT